CGTCTACTACTTGCAGACTTCATCAGTGCCAAGTACTCAACACCACTGAAGAATCCATCTCTTATCTACGAGTTAAATACTAATCAATAGGTACTAAAAATCAGCATGTAGTTGGGTAAATTGTGACATGGCATCTGCTGATTTTTAGTACCTATTGATTAGTATTTAACTCGTAGATAAAAGATGGATTCTTCAGTGGTGTTGAGTATTTGGCACTAATATCATATAAAAATTACCACTTTAGTCTGTTATTTGAAATAAGCATCTGCAACCAGGGTTCCTTCCATTCATTTTGGCTATAAAAATGTTTTATGAAATTATGGAATAATAAGATATTATTATAATATTTTGTTTGTGTAAGCAACAAGAAAAGATTGTGGAGTTTGTGTCTGCCACATAATACCAGCCAATGTTGCTGCATGAGAGTGGCAATAAGCGATTTTGTCATTTATCTCACCCAATCTTCGCTCTTCACTCTTCGCGAAGAGGCGATCAGAAAATCGCTCATTGTGGCTCTGTCAAAGCTAAATTTGCAGGTTTTATGTGTCAAACACAAACTTTAAAATCTTTTCTTGTTCTTAACTCATACAAAATACCACCATAATATCTTATTATTCCATACTTTTCTAAAACATTTTTTTAGTCAAAATGAATGGAAGGCACCCTGTCTGCAACTATAGCTGACATCACACTGTTTGACAAAACTCCAAATATTTGCTTCGTTAACTTTTGTCAAATAATGCAATTTGGCAAACATTATTTGGCCAAACTTGAAATAAGGTGTTTTGACCAACGGTCAACAAATATATTTGACATGTCATTACATTGTTTGCAACTGTTTGCATTTATATATTAAGTAGTCTCTTTGTCATTCGTTCGCAGCTAAAGTCTGATTGTTGTTGTGTTGCTGTGCAGTTGAAATCGAAGAAAAAAGAACCAGGATGAATTATTCTGAGTTTGCTACAGTTATGGGAGCAGCATATCTGTTGCTGGAGGAGAACGAATCGAAAAAAAGTGCGTAGTCTACGGGTCCAGAAGTGGATGAAGAAACGGCAAACTGAAGGATGTTATGCAACCCTTTTGAATGAGTTGAGGAGCGATCATCCAAATTTGTTCCGAAGCTTCGTGAGAATGACGGCTGCTGATTTTGAGTATTTGTTGGATTTCGTAGCTACGCATATTCAAAAACAGGTCACGTATATACGGAAAGCGATTACAGCCGGAGAAAGGCTGGCTCTGACTTTGCGGTACTTGGCTTCATGTCACTCCAGTACCTTTTTCGCATCCCACAGCCAACTATTTCCAACATCATACCCGAAGTCCTGGATGCCATCTATCTGGTTTTGAAGCAGAATTTCTTAAAGGTAGGTCGCATCAGAAGGGTTTTCCAAAAAGTAGTAAAAATTTGAAATAAAGAATCCCGCCCTGGGTGATTAGCCCATATTTGGATAGCTTGAATACCATCCGGAAATCATTCTGTTTACTGTAGTTACTGTATTGTCAGTATACATATAAACATCTAAATTAAAATACCTTCAATATTGCGTATCAAGACCAAAAATAACTTGCTTGGTTGTGGAGTAATATCTTCTTAAAGATAACATATCTAAAAATCTCAAAAATTCAGGGTTGTAGCCCAGATGTATCCAGGCACTTAAGAGCAAAACCAAAACAGTCGTTTGTTCCGAATGTCAAAATAAGCGTTTTGGCAAAGTTTGGTTCAAATCGGTGACATTGACCACAGGTGGTGTATATACTTGAGCTGAAATGACCAACATGTATACTAGCGCCACGTAGTGAAAAAAAAATCTGAACTACTGTACACCAACGAAAAGATCTTAACTTCCTGAACAACTTTGTCTAAGACAGTAACTTTCTGTCTGATCAGGATCTACAGATATTTTATAAGCGAGATATTCACATGTATACTAGCACCACGAAGTGAGAAAATTCTGAACTACTGTACACCAATGAAAAGATCTTAACTTCCTGCAAGGTTGCAAATACTCATCTCAGTTAAAATAATGTTTTTCGGAATAATAAAACCAAAACATGGTATGATGGCATGTTTTACTTGTAACTTACAAGAAGAGGTTACAAAGTATGCGTTTGAAACATAAAACCTGTAAATTTTACTTTCTATGAGTCACAATCAGCGGTTTGCTGATCGCTGAGTGAGTGAGTGAGTGAGTTAGTGAGTGTGTGAAAAATCACTGATTGTGACTCTCATGAAGTGAAATAAACAGATTTAATATGTCCAACACATTCTTTGTAGCCTCTTCTTGTATCCTACCAATTCAAAGTATGATCATGGCATCTAATTATTTCATAATTAAAAAAAACATTGTTTTAGCTGAAATGAGATTTTGCAACCTTGACTTCCTGAACAACTTTGCCGAAGACAGTCACTTTCAATCTGGTCAGGATCTAGAGATATTTTATAAGCGAGATATTCACATGTATACTAGCGCCACGAAGGGAGAAAACTCTGAACTACTGTCCACCAGCGAAAAGATCTTGACTTCCTCACCAACTTATAACCATTGTTGTAACCATGCGGCTTATAACCGGCTGTGATCAAGGTTAAAGTGGCTTCCTCGCTCCACTCTGCCGTCACTTTTTTCCGGATTCATTTCGACGTTCCACTTGGACTTGAAGCTCCAACACTCTCCACATCGTCGAAAGTAGCACCGGAATAGTCTTCTGCCATCATCAAAATGCTCACAAACACAAAAAAATTGATTTTTTTTTTCGAGAACCGGTAATTGCACAATTATTTGTTGATGTTTGCTACTCAAGAAATTTCAGAGTGTCAAATAAATTATTTGATGGTATTGAGCAAACATGCTTGACAAACAATAACAAAGGGCATCACACTAAAGGGTGTCCACGATGAAATTGCCACACACAAAATTGATTCGCAAAATTCGAGTTTTCATCCGATTTCCATCAAATTTTCAGGGATTGAGAAATAACTATTAAACTTCATTTTACCATTTTACTCGTATTTTATTTACAGTCCATACGCAAATGCCCGCACCTTGGCCTTAACCCCGGCCATAAGATTCTGCACAACCTGTGAATCAACCGTTTTTTGCATGTAAACCCATACTTTCTTCAGTTCCTCGACTGTCTTCACTACCTTAGGTCGTTTAAGAAGGTGCTGCTTCATAATCGCCCAGTACTTCTCGATGGAGCGGAGCTCCGGAGTGTTGGGAGGGTTGAACATTTTCGGCACGAAATTGACCTTATTGTCCGCATACCACTTCAGCACGTCCTTGGAGTAGTGGCATGAGGCCAAATCCGGCCAGAAGATTGTTGGGACGTTGTGGGCCTTCAGGAGAGGAAGCAGCCGCTTCTGGAGGCACTCTTTTATATACACCTGTCCGTTCATCGTGTCCTGGGTCACGAAAGGTGCACTCCGCTTCCCGCACGTGCAGATGGCTTGCCAAACCAGGAATTTCTTCGCAAATTTGGACATCTTCTGAGTGCGGACATGCTCCGGAACGCTGAACTTATCCTTGGCCGTGAAAAACAGGTTGCCGGGGATCTGTTTGAAGTCGGCCTTCACATATGTTTCGTCGTCCATGATGCAGCATTCAATTTTCTTCAGCATGTTGAGGTACAACTTCCTGGCACGGGTTTTGGCGGACTTGTTCTGCTTCTCGTCACGATTAGGGGCCTTTTGTACCTTGAACGTTCGAAGCCCAGCCTTAGTTTTGGCCTTCTGGACAAAACTTCGGCTTAGGTGCAGCTTCTTAGCCACATCCCTAACGGAGGCGTTCGGATTTCGGTTGAAGGCCTCAACTACGCGGTTGTGATTTTTGGTGTTGTACGGAATACTTTTTCCTTCACTTCTGGGCTTCCGATCGGTGGTCAACCGTTCCTCGAACCGCTTAATCACTCGCGACACCGTGGAATTCGCGGTTCCCAACGTTTTAGCGATGGAACGATGCGAGAGATCCTTGTTCTCGTGATGAATGCGCAAGATTTTATCACGCACGAGCTGTTCTTTCGACTCCATTTCCGCGAGTTTTGATCACAGGACTTTAAAACTTGCAGGATGTAAATAATGCACTATGAACTAAATCCACCCAAATTTTCATTAAAGTCTACCCAACGGTTAAAAAGTTAGAGCAATTTCATAGTGTGGCAATTTCATCGTGGACACCCTTTATTTGACAAAATGCCAAATAATTGAAATGTCAAATACACGTCAAATATTTGCCATAGCAAAAATTGGTCAAATATATTTGTCCAAATTTGCCAAATATTTGGCGTTTTGTCAAACAGTGTAATGATAGCTTGTGGTTTAATGTGTCAAGCACAATATTTGCAACCTCTTCTTGTATCTTACCAATACAAAGCCGATCATAGCCGATAGTCTAACAAGGCGTAATATAAATTATGCATTGAACATCATGAAAGAAACAATACTCCAGTTCTTTTCAGAGCTTTGAACCCTGCTCACAACTCAATTAACTTTCAGTTTTCGGTAAAATAATCCTCATGAATATCATCATTACTAATACCAGCATGATTGCAACTTCCACCATTTAATTGCTATCTCCCTGGCATCACTCCAGCACTTTCCGTCTAACAATTTCTGCATTTCTGAGTTCCATCAAGCCCACTCACGCCAGAAGTGCATCCATCACTTCACCACCCCCTCAGCGAAACTGAGCTCCACATGACATTCCCCCACCGTGCTTCGGGAGTAGGATTTCGGTATTGGCGCGCATGCCCAGTCCCCACCAGCCATTCCCACGTGAGCGACCCAACCGAACTCGTGTCGAATCCGAAAATCGCTTCGCTTCCCGACCATCCCGACTGAGCTTCGGCGAACATCCTTTCGGAGGCTGCTTGGTGCAATGTGATGCTGCTGCTGCCGCCGACGATATGCTGTGCAACCTTAACCTACACGTACGATCGGCCAACGGTGGCCAGGTTAGTTCTTCTGGCGCCTTCACACGGAACGAATGCTGGCCGCGGTCGCCGTTGTCGTCGTCGTCGTCGTCTCAGTTCGTGGGCCTCTTTGTCGCGGTTGTTTGAAGCACGGTCGGTCGAGTGGTTCGTGTGGATATAGGATAGCGGATTCCTAACCCAGATCTCTCCTGGATGGAATGTCTCCAGGCTGTTCGTAGATGAATGAAATCTGGATCAGCCGTGGAACTGCGATTCGTGCGGTTTATTCAAGCGGCATTTGTGCGAATGTGGTCTTGAGAATTCAAGCAATCAGTGCTGCAGTTTGAGCAACACGGTGGGGTTTGTGAATTATTCAATGGTTGTCCGTTTGAAGGAACTCTTCGATGCATCAACCTACCTGAACTAGAAAGTGCTGAACGATACCAGACAGATCGCTGTCATTCGGTGCGAGTGTGCACGAAACGACACCGCAGTACCGGAGGGACTAGATGTACGAACTATGGAACGGATGCCGGAGCGCTTCTGCTGCCATTGTCTGGGAGATCCATCGAGTGAATAATTAATTCGATAATGAAAACATAATCTGATTAAAGCTAGCAAAGAGGGGGCAGAACCTTGGCGAAAAGTTGCCAATGGCGGTGCGCACCAGAGCGTCAGTGATGTGATTATAATCGAAGAAGAAGCGCTTGAAGAATGATGCTCTGAGCTGACGATGGCATTAGCAGTAATGATGATAACGATAATAACCGTGTAACTGGAAGGAGAAGCATATCTCACGCATAACCCAATCGTGGTGTTCGGAAATTTGCTAATCGTTTCTCGTTGCGGTGAGAAGCACGAAACCGAGATTTTCCGAATATCTAAACGCTGCTGCTGATGATGCAGACTTGTGTGGGGGTGCAACAGGAAATTGGCCGTGATTTATGAGTTCAGTGAACATGATTCAGTGCAGTTTAGGTGAAGAGTTATTGCAACTAGTTGTACGTACGTAGATATGTGCGAGCAAGTGGTGTCTGCTGAGCGGTGCAAAAGGGATGCCTAGCAGTTCGCAACGTACACAAGCCCTGTAGGTTAGTCAGCAGTCGTTTGTGTGTGGATGGCAGTGAAAACTGTGTGTGCGGGAAAGTTTTCTATCTATCCCTGTGTGAAATTCCTCCACCGACCGAGGTCAGACTACATATCTCCGTGACGGTGACGGACCGGGGGAAAGTAGTGCTACACAGATGGACGACTGTACCGGGGAAACGATCGACGAAAAATCTCAGCTGTTAATTTAAAGCCGGATGTTGCTCTGCAGTGAATGTGCGGCAGGGAGGTTTTTTTTTGTGTGGGGGAAAAACGGAGGATGTTAGGCAAAATTGATACTGTTTTCGAGAGTTGGTGGTGAAACTGCAGGGCTGAAATAGCCGCGGCGGTGCAAAAGGAGGTCAACGGCTGCGAGCGAGTAAGTGCTAGTGGGAAATTGATTATGTTTCGATTGGTTGAACTTTGAGAGAAGAGTTTTTTGTGTTGCTCATTTATGTGTTTGATGCTATTGCCGAAGGGTTATGGACTAGTTATGGAATGGATGGGGAATCGATTACGTAACGATTTTAAATCAAAGGTTTAATGTACTTCTTTTTGATTTTGATGCTGCTCTAAACTAAGTGTTCTTTATATAAAATTATGCATGTCGGTGCAATTTGCGTTTTTGACAAAACTGAGCTTGCCCCATCACTTAAGAAATAATGGTACAAATCAAACATAAAATGAATCCTGATGAATGTGGACGTCTTGGTATACCTGTATGAAGAAAGAGAGAAAGATTAGTAATATCCATTCAATTTCACTATCTTATTTGCTTATCCTTGACAGATACGCGTAGTTCGTCTACAATGTGCAGACTTAGTCAGTGTATAGGAAAAAGGCAATCAAGGCAATCATTGAAGTCTCATGATGATATACTTTTAAGATTTTTCTTGATATCTATCACCGACCGACGTGACAATTAAAAGTGCAACGCATTATGATCCATTTCACCTTGGATTACGGTACTAACTGAACAACCTACAGTGTTGAAAGAAGATTGCATTTTCAAACAGTTGAAGATCCTCAGAACTTGATCAACCTGAAGCCTTGGAAAAATATCCAGAGAACTTTACTAATATCTTTGTCTATATGGAGATCTTTTGAACATTCCCTGCTGTCTGGGAACTTCTGCGACGTTCCCTGTATTTATTCCAAATTCTATATATTGTCAATCTCTCTTAATTCTACGAAGATCTCAGAACATCTTTTCACTTCTGGAAAGGCATCTATCATCTACAAATATTCTTGAACATATGGAAAGTTCCTTGAAATTAAACGAAGTTCTCAAAACCCCCAAGATGTTCATGAAGCTTTTTCGAATTAAGATCTCTGACAAACTGCAACGAAGTACCCTGTACTGAAGCAAGGATCACTGAAGTACACGGGAAAAAATCCGATCTCCGAAATGAGAAATATGACTCATGATTTCATGAACACAGCGTATTTTCATGTTATGAAAATACACCATGAATAATATTCATGATATCGTGAGCAACTTTTGCGTAACGCAGCAAACATTCCCAAAATCATGAATCATCCGAGTTGAAATCATGAGCTAAATCATGGGTTTAACTTTTAACCAAAAAATGTGCATCAGACTGGATTCGAACCAAGAACCTTGGGATCATTTAACCCATACTTTGACCACTAGACTATCAGTACTTGTATAAAATGGAAGACAAAAGGCGTATAAGAGATACATATGTAGTGTGGTTTATGAACACGGTTTTCCAAGTACGTGTAACGCTTGTAGCGGTCTTGATTCCACTGCATTATGAAATCATGAATTATTGTTACGATTTCATGGGATGGCACAAAATCTTTTTATTTAGGTGGAGGCGAACCAGCCCAAGGCTGAAAGCCTCCCTAATAAAGTTAAATAATAATAATCTTTTTATTTTTATTTTGGCAGGGGAATTTACGTATTCTCGGCAACCTAAGAAGCGACCTTCTTTCTATAGCCTTTTTCTCTATGGAACGCACACATATGCAGTATTGGTTTGTTTATAATCTTTTGCTGCCAGCTGCTCTAACAATTTCAGTCGAAAGAATTGTCAGAAACTGTTTTGAAACGCTTTTACAAAGCTCCAATCTTCTCTAGTGAGAGCGAGTATTGTCGGCAACCAGTTTTTCTTCGGCAACCGTTCCATTTTAACTGCATGTAAATCTGCTGTTCAATTATCGGCAACTCGAAATCAGCTACAATTTGTAGTGCGTGTGTTTCATTTCAAGAAAACCCTGCTAGATTGCTTTTTCTCAGTGGTAAAAATATAGTCAAATTGAAGCTGAAAGCATAAAGAATCGTTTGCATGCATTCAGCGAAGTGTTTTCGTAAGAAAATCCAGTGAAAATAGTGTTTCAATTTGGGTTGCCGAAAATAGTCTGTCATGCCGAAGCCGTCATTTCCCCTAGTTAAATTCATATATTTAAAGGAAAAAATTTTCGTTTATGCTTTTCGTTTGCCAAATCCGAACTATCGTGCCTTCCACTGAACCCCTCCATTAAATTTTGCACAGTGGTCTCATCGACTTTATTCGCCGCCGAACGCCAGTTAGATTTAAACTGCTGCTCGTTTTCCATGGATTTATTAGTTTTTTTGAGATTCCGTTTGACCAAGGCCCAATACCGTTCGATAGGGCGGAGTTCTGGGCTGTTGGGAGGGTTGTGGTCTTTGGGTACCACAACCACGTTGTTCGCATCGTACCACTCGATTGCCCTTTTCCCATAGTGGCAGCTCGCCACGTCCGGCCAGAACAGCACAGGTCTATTATGTTACTTTAGGAATGGTAGCAGCCGCTTTTCCTGGCACTCCTGGACGTAGATCTCTTGATTGATGGTTCCCGTACTAATGAAAAGGCCGCTTTTTAGACCACACGTGCATATGGCCTGCCAGACGAGATATTTTTCGGGAACTTCGATAATTTGATGGTGTTGAAAATTTCAGCCACCTTCCCTTTTCCTGATGCGGTATAAAACTTCTATCCCAGAAGCTACTTGAAATCCGCCTTCACATAAGTTTCGTCGTCCATGATGACACAGTCGAACTTTGTGGGCAGATCGTATACAGCTTTCGGGACCACTGATTTGCTGACGTGTTTTGTTTGTTTGTCGACAACCCGGCTCGTTTCTTGGCCCGCTGCACAGCCCGACGTCCCGGATGGAGAGGTTAGGATTCCGCTTATATTTCACCGCCACCTTCTTCGTCGTCGCTGCTATGTCCGGATTACGATTGCCGCCACTTCCAGGCTTTCTGGCAGTCGACAGACGCTCCCCGAACACTTTTAAAACGTTTGTCACGGTCGATTTGGCCACATCCAGCAACTTTGCCAACTTGGCGTGTGAGAACGTCGGATTCTCTTGCTGCGCGAGCTAAATTTTGACATGCTGCTTCTCTTGCTTGGACGTCATTTTGAAAACTGGAGAGCAACCGGTGAAAACTCATCATAGCAACCATTGTATATACACTCAACTTTCAAATCCAGCATTTCAGAAATACACCAATTTAAATACACGCAGCTGTTCGGAAATGGATACAATGTGTACCGCAATGACCGTGATCCTATTAGAACGGGCAGATAGAGAGGTGGTGGTGCGTTGATTGCTATCTCAAAACGGTACAGTTCATCAAAATCTGTTATCGAAGATGACAGCGGCACAGAACAGCTCTGGGTTAATGTGAATGGAGGCTCTCGGACAATCTGCCTAGGTGTCGTATACATCCCTCCTGATTATTCTACATCTGCGGCCTACATTGATAAACATATCGGATCCGCGTTAGCCATGTCTGAGAAACTGCAACATCAAGACTTTCACCTGCTGTTTGGCGATTACAACCAGCCTGGCCTTTGTTGGACGCCGTCAGCTACTGGACAGGATTACATTACCTCTGGGGGCTCTCCGTTTACTGCTGCAAGTGCTTCACTCGTGGATGGAATGGCGTTACTCGACATGAAGCAGATAAAACCTACTGTGAATTACCTGAACCGAACCTTGGACTTGATATTTGCTAATTCCGATGCAGTTAAACACTGTGATGTAATTGAAACACCTGAAGCTCTTATTGATGCTGACCCGTTCCATCCTCCAGTTTTGGTCAACCTTGGCTGTCCGCCTCTGGTTCGGTACAATGACATACCTGAGGAAAGGGAGTTCGACTTCTATCGTGCTGATTATGCTGGCTTGAGTGATGCTTTACGGACCACAGATTGGTCATTTCTGGATGTTGCTGACGTGAATGTGGCTGTTTCACTTTTCAACCAAACACTGACATCATTTCTTCGTGAATATGTCCCTCGACCCAGACCAAAGCTTAGGCCAGTTTGGTCAAATGCACGGCTTCAACGGCTTAAACGCAAGCGTTCTGCTGCTTTGAAGAAATACTCTTGTGCGCGAGATGTGATCACCAAACGCAACTTTTCTAAAGCCAGCAACCGGTATAGAAACTATAACCGTCATCTTTATTCGACATATGTTTTGCGTAAGCAAAATGAGCTGAAACAAAATCCAAAACGTTTCTGGTCTTTCGTCAACGATAAACGTAAAGAAAGTGGTCTTCCAGCGCAAAACGAAGTTGAAGATGCTATGAAACAGTTGAAATCGTCAGTGTCTCCTGGTCCAGATGAAATACCCTCGATTGTTCTGAAGAATTGTGCTACTTCGCTATCAAAACCGTCATCTTTCCCGTGTTCAAAAAAGGAAACAGAGCAGATGTTACGAACTATCGTGGCATCACCTCGCTTTGTGCTGGCTCAAAGCTCTTTGAGATTTTAATTGGAGACTTATTGCAGTGTAGTGTTGCGCAGTATATCTCAACTGATCAGCACGGCTTCTTCGCTGGACGGTCGATTAACACAAATCTAGTGGAGTTCTGCTCCTTTTGTCTGCAACACATGGAGAAAGGAGCACACGGACATCAAAGCAGCATTTGACCGTGTTGATCATGCTATATTGTTGGCTAAACTAAAGCACTTAGGTGCTTCCGATGCTTTTGTGTGCTGGTTAGAATCGTTCCTAGCAAATCGCTCACTTTCTGTGAAATTGGGAAACGCTGAGTCGCGAGTCTTCCACTGTACATCAGGTGTCCCTCAGGGCAGCAACGTCGGGCCGTTACTCTTTTCGCTTTATTTCAACGATGTGTGCTTATTACTTCCTCCAGGATGCTAAATCGTGTACGCTGATGACCTTAAAATATACCTTGAGGTTCGTACAGTTGATGACTGCATTAAGATGCAGAAATTGATTGACACGTTTTATGAATGGTGTGCTTGCAACTTGCTCAATATCAGCGTACCGAAGTGCTCTGTAATCAGTTTCAGCCGAAAGAAGAGCACTATAGAATATCTTTATTCCATTAATTGCCAGCAAGTTCAGCGTGTG